TAGTTGGGCTCAATCTCCTCCCATGGGAATTCCTCTCTTTGTGTTTTATTTTTTTAATTTACAAACAAAACCAGAACAAAATGAAGAGAAACTGAAGAAAAACATATGCATGCACAAAGGAAACTCACATGTGTGGGCCAGCACGGTTGCAGGCATTTTATATAAACATTCCCATTTAATTCCCACCACAACCCTGCAAAAAAAAAAAAAAAAAAAATATTGTTTTCCTTTTATGGAAAAGGGAACTCAGTTGAAAAGATGTGTCAGGACTCAGTCAAGAACCCAAAGCTAGGCAGAGGAGGAACAGGACATCTGACTTAGCATGGTCTGACCCCAAATCCCTGTGATGTCACCTTTCTACCCAAATCTGACTGTTTTACCCATCAGTCCTAGTTCCACAGAGTTGTAATCACAGTGCAGCTCCCAGTGGAAAGGCCTTCATCGGCCTCCCACTTAGGCGGTCAGTCACTCAGCCTTCTCTGATATATGGGCAGTTACTTGCTCACACAGCTCCCCAGCCCTTTCTAGGTGATGTACCTGTTATTTCATTGATCCTGCACACTGCCCATGAGCAAGACAGGATAGAATTTGTGATGTGCCAAAGGTCACACTCAGCAGGTGCCTCGCAAAGATAGGACTAGAACCTTGGTGTCCTGCCTCCTGATGTCAAAACCATGTGACCGTTACCTCCTGGGACTGGTCGTTCTTTCATTCCCACTCCAAGTTGCAACACTCCCCAGCAGGGGTGCCCGCAGACCAGAAAATTCCCTGCGAGACTGTCTGCCTCTCAAGGACTTACCCTTGGCCTTAAACCCCTGCTACCACCTGGTAGAATTGGGGTCCCTATAACTCTCATGGCCCTACCTGCCCTTTACTCACTGCTGTGACCTTTGGTCCATGTGTTGAGATTGGGAACTTCTGCTCATGACTGAGCCCAGAATAAGGGGCTTGTTGAGTGATGTTGGATGGAATCCAAGATCTAGTTCTGCTACAGACTCACTTTCTGTCCTAGGGAGAGCCCTACCTTCTTCTGATCTTGAAGCCTCACTCCCGTGGGCTATGATTGTCTGCTTTGAGAGCTGACTAGTGGAGGAGACAGGCACACTCCCATACCTGACTGGCCACGTTGGGGGGATGAGCTCAGGCAGGAGCAGAGGCCCGTAATATGTGTGTGTGGGATGGAGGAACAGGGGAAAGGTGGTTAGGGTAGAAGAGAGGTGAATAGGAATGGGGTCCACAGACGGTATTGTCTGCAGCAGCATCCCCAGCTAGGCTCCATGGGGCACAGGTAGGGAGCAGCTGGTCTCTGTGCCAGTGTGAGCAGAGGAGAGTGACAAGAGCAGGAAAGGAAGTAGGCTATGAACAAGGCTAGGAACTCCAGTTGCAGGAAGGGTAGGGTGGGTGCTTTGGTGAAGTATGGACAGATGGGATGATGGCCACCTTCTCTGGAAAGTTTCTGATGAAGGTCCTGTCCTGGGTGCCCACTGTGGACTGGGGTTGGCTGCTGTTCATGTTCCAGCCATGTTCAAGGGCTGCCGCACACCGGTTTTTCTCGGGAGCCCTGTAGAATACTAGAGTAGCTTACCTTCCAATGTTCACTCATATACCTGCTCCAGGACAGTTTTCAATCCTGGCTATGACTTAAACTTAGAATCATATTCCTTCTGGGAGACTGCACAGTGGCACACATGCTGCAGGGAGAATACAGCTTCGGAGCCAGAGGGAGCCAGTGGCCAGCCCTGGCTCTTCTGTCCTAGCTATGTGACCTTGGGCAGGTCATTTCACTTCTGAGCTTCACTCCGTGAAATCTATGAAATGCAGTACTATATTTTACGGAGGATTCTTGTGAGGGATAGAAACAATGTAAATGACATGCCTAGTTCAATGCCTGGAACATGGAAGAGGCAACATAAATGGTAGCTGTTATTAATTTCTTGCCAGGGTGATACTCCCTGTGTGGCCTCCTTAAGGAAGGGAGTCAGCACCTTCTTGCACAGCCCAAGGGATCAGGGGACTCATTGCCTCTAAGGGCAGCTCTGCCTGTGGTCTGTCATAGTTCTGTCTCTGGGGCCACAGTGCATACTGTTCTGTGACATCCCCCCCAGAGAATTGTAAGAGACCTCAGTGGTAACACGACGTTTGCCCAAGTTGCAGGGGCAAGGCTCTGGATGTGCCTAGCCTGTTCCAAAGGGGCATGTTTGAAATCAGGCTTGCATAAATCACAGAGACCCCTTTCTTCATCCCTGTGAATTTAGAACATACGGATTTTATCCTCCCAAGTCTGCTTTTTTTCCTGGGTGAACTCTCCTAATTCCTTTGAACATTTTTCACAGAGGCAAATGGGAGACCTGAGTTCTGGTCCCAAATCCATCAATTCAGGGAAAATTGCGTATTTTCACTCTCTCCATTTCCCCATGTATAAAGCAAAGAAATAGTATTATCTCATAGGATTATAGCGAAGATAAGTTTGAAAAAGTAACATGGAAGTTTGGGGTTTGGAAAAGGCACTTGGTAAATATCAAACATATATTTTTTAAACTCCCATTTTTGAAAAAGCCCATTTGGTGCTGCCCTTTAACTTTCTATAACATCTCCAAAGGAAATCGATGCCAATCCTGGTTTCAGGATATTGGCAAATTGGGTGGAGGATGCTCTCCTAAATTCATAAACAGAAGGCCCAGGGTTTGGCTTAATCTGTGAAGAGCCTACTAAGTTCCGGCTCTTTCACTTGCCTTATTCTGCAGTTGGGACCAAGTCCCGGAGAAGGCCCAGCAGATCAGTGATAGAGGCTGAATCCCAACTCTCCCAACATTCAGCACCTTTATACCCCCAGTGCTTACTGCCAGAGGAGGGAGGTGAAGGGAAGATAGTCTCTGGGCCAGACTAGATACACCCAAGAATAGGATTTAGCAAATATTTGTTAAGCACCTTCTATGTGTGGGACACTACAACTGGGCAAGCGCTGTTAAGGTACCTCCTCCTACCCCCCTCCAACTAGCTCAGTGTCATTCATGAAATGGTTGGTTTGGAACTCAGCCTTGGCTGAAGGCCTAGGCTGATACTGTCTTGCTTACTCCTGTATCCCCAGGGTCTAGTATAAGGCTTGGCACAAAGTAAGATAGCAAATATTTTTTGAGTGAATGATGAATCAGTGAGCACTTGTTGAGCACAATGTGCCAGGTTCTATGGTAGGAGAAATTCTATTTAATTGACAAGTCTGCAAGGATGGTATTATATCCCTATTTACGAGTGAGAAAATAAAGGCCAGAACAGGGGAATTGACTAGCTCAAGGCCTTACAATGCATTAGTGGTGGAACTGAGACTGGACCCCAGCCTGCCTTATTTCATCCTGGTCCTGGGCTCTAATTTTTGACCCACATCTGCAGGAAGCTGGGCCTCCACCCACATGTTTACTCCCTTGCCTCAGGCCTTCCCTAATAGTAAATGAGGGCTCTGGTTAATATTGACTTTTAAATGGCTTCAAGAAAACTAGGAATATCAAATCTGGACTCCTCGTTTATACACAGTTCTAGTCTAAATCTGACTCAAGCATAACTGATTGTAACACCTTCCTGCACCATAATCTAGGCTAACTTGATGTAAACAACCTGGGCTCAAGTTCCATCTTCCCAATTTCTGGCCAAGTAGCTTTCAGCAAGTTACTTGGGCCTCTCCAGGCCTCACTCACTTTCCTGTTTTGCCTGACTACACACTTTTGAGAAGAGGTGTCTGGGATGTCAACTTCTGATAACACTGTGGGGCAATCTAGTTCTCCCTCCACACAGATTGTGGCTCCAGAAGAGGTATTTTCATTCTTCTAAGGACCTTAAGGAAAGCTGGTCTGGACAGAGCAGGAAGGTTGTGTGTGTTCGGGAGCCGAAGGTGGGGGGTAGGGGTAAAGTGCCTGGGTGAGCATCCTCAACGGCAGATAAGGAAGCCTGAGTTCACCTAGCTAGCTAGAGGCAGGCAGAGTAGTCTAGCACCAGAGGTCTTGACTCCCAGACAAGGGTTTCCTTTGCCCGCGCTGCCTCCTCTACCTTTCCTCATGATTACCCCCGGCTGTTTCTTTACAACCCAAAGAACACTTTGTGATCCAAAGAGTCTAGTCCTACTGTCTGACCTTCAGAAGGTCTTCAGTCCTCTATGGGCCACAGCCTTCCCATCTATGAAATGGGGACCCTGACCTCAACGACCTCACTGTTCCCTTACAGCGCAGAGTCCATGCTTTCTGGCAGAGAGCCGGACTTTTTTTTTTTTTTTTTTGCACGGCAATTAGACTCCCCACCCCCGTACAGGCACCTGCGGCCGGCTGCGGAAGGAGTGGTTCATGCTGGCTCCCCTCGTGCTTATCTACACGGGCCATACGCTCTGGGGACAGGGGTGTTGGAAGACCGAGAAACAGCCAAAAACTGAACTCTCCTACTGCCACCGGCATACCGCCCCCCCGCCCCCGCACCATTGTAAAAACTTCGCTGTAGGCGTCCACGTTACCCATTCCCGCACAAACACTGCAGCTGCAAAAGCCAGAGGGAGCAGGGGCGTTTTGTGCGCGTGCGTCGGCGCAGAGCCCTCTCCCGCCCACGTGCGCGCCCCCGACCGGAGGCGCGCGCCGCGGCAGGCTGGCGGGAAAGCGCGCGGGAAGCCCCCGGCGGGCTCTTAGTGTGGGGGAGGGAGGACTGGAGGCGTTTGGAACGTGCCACTCTGGGATAGGATAGGGGAATTTTCGTGCGATGCTCGCGTTTCTGCCCTTCCCATTCGCCCACCGATCCGTTAGTTTCCCCTGTCTCCGCTACGATACGGAGCCCCGAGCTGCGTCCACGCTCCCTCCCAGCAGCCTAGCCCGGCCTCGGGAACCCATCCCTGGCACTGAGCTGTCCCCTCCGCTGCCGGAGTGGGGCGCTGCGCCGCGTTGTGGGGCCGGAAATTCCCGCGGCCTGAGTGGAGGAGCCCGAGCTGGGAACGCGGCACCGCCTTCCACCTCCCCGCGCCGGGCGGGGCCGTCGGGCCCAGCGAGGGCCGGGCTGCCAGAGTTGGGGCGGAGGGGACATTCGTCTGCGAGGAGCCCCGGAGCCGGCGGAGGGCGGGGAGCCGGGCGACGCGGCTGCTCCTGGAGAGCCGTTCGGCGAGCTGGGAGACCCTGCGCCCCAGCTTCTGGGCCCCCGCCCCCTCGCGGTCTCCGCCTCCTTCGCTCACACACCTCCCGGGCCGCTAGAGCCCCAGGCCTTCTCGGCTCTCTCCACACTCGCCCGCGACCCGGGTTCTCCTGCAGCCTGCTGGCCTTGCTCACTCCGGAGCAAGTCCTCGTTCTCAAGCTCTTCTTTCTCTCTCTCTCTCTCTCTCTCTCTCTCTCTCTCCCTCTCTCTCTCTCTCCCTCTCCTTCTCCCTGTCCCTCTCTCTCTCTCTCTCTCTCCCTCCCTCACACACACACACACACACACACACACACGCACACACACACTCTTGCTGGGCCGTCCCTCCACTCGCCCCTTCTCCTTTCTCTTGTCCTACCTAACGCCGCCGTCGGGGGAGGATTGATGTCCCTTCAGCATCATGCAGCCGCCACCGAGGAAGGTGAGGGTGCAGAAGGGAGGCTTTGGGGCTTTGGGTGGGGGGATGAGTCCAGGGAACGCGGCTGGGGCGACCGCTGCACCCCCTCCCCCTTTCTGCAACGGGCCGTGACCGCTGTAGCCTCTGGCTTGTCACCGAGTTCCTGCCGGTTGCAGGCTGGTGAGGTGCCTTTCTGACGGAGAGGGGACTGGGGTTCGTCCCCTCCACCTCGCCGGGGACCCCCGACATTTCACAAGAGTTTCGGGTGCTCATTTGTGTGCGCGCGCGCGCATGGCAGTGCTGCTCGCTGCAAAGTGCATTCTCGGGGCTGCATCGAGGAGAGGCGGGGAAGCCCCTGCAGCTTTGCGGAGCCTTGTGCTTATGTGTGATTGTTTAGTCTGCGCCAGGTTTGAGCCCTCCAGCCCCTTGTCGCCACCCTTGCCCATTTGCACATTTGCGGGGTATCTGTTTCCAGCTTAGCCTTAAGATTTGGCCTGCTTTTCCCACGGGGCGGGCGGAAAAGAAGTTGGAATAGTCACCCCTCGCCCCCAATCCTAGGGGAAACAAGAAATTATACATTGCCTTTTTCACCCCCTTCCTTGCCCCGTTCCTCCGGGTAGAGGGTGAGGAGGCGGTGGTACTGCCCCAGGGAGAGTGAGAACCTGGCAGTGCGTGGCGCGATCTGGGCTTGGGGTGGGAGTGACGGGTGCTCCAGGCTTGTCAGCAGCTTCCCTGCTGCACCTCTTCGAGAACTGCTTCACTGCCCTCTTCTCCAGCTTTCCCAGGGGCTGAGGCTGTGTCCTTGTCTTTTTAATCCTGCAGATGGTTATTGAATGTCTACTCTGGGCGCTGGGTGGAGGAGGTTGTTTCTGTCCTCCCCTCGTGGGCAAACATTTGCTGAATGCCTCACTCGTGTTTGCTTCCTTTTCTTTCTTTCTTTCTCTCTTTCTTTCTTTCTCGATCTGGGTTTCTCCAATTTTAAGTCTTTTTTCTTTTACACATGTACCCCCACCCCTCCGGGTAGCTCCGCTGCAGCGGAGGCGATTCCAGGCCCACTGGACCTGGAACCCTGGCGTGCCGGCCTGGCGGGCGAAGCACTGGCCAGCTTGCATTTGCTGTGCTAGCTGTTTGAAGTGGAGCCTCCACAGGAACCGGCTTGCTAGGGTGTCTTAAAAGCACTGCATATACTAGAAGGTCACTTTTGCTTTCTCCTATGTGAGAACGAGATTTGTGATTTGATGAGCTGTCAGCGAGTGGAGGGCATCATCCGGAGACAGCGTGCTTTCTTGCAGCCATTATGAAATAATTTATGTAGTCGATTCAAGCATATGATTTCATTATTGTGTACATTTTGGTCATTAGATATTAGGCATTCTTATGCTCCCCTCTCCCCGCTCCATTCTGCTCACCACTCCTAGTGGTTAATGACTTTGAATCCTTTTTGGAAAAAATGGAAGACTGATTCTTTTAAAACTTTAAGGAGACCTAGATGTGTACTGAGTTTGTGCATGAAATGGGATGACTGGCAGTTTATTTCGCACCTCTTTAATCTGAAATTTTTATATTTGTGTTCTCATATTTAGCCTCTGTTTCAAGTTATTTGGCTAGTTTTTTTCATTAAATAAAGTATCTTCAGCAAACAAAATTAGGTGGCTAATGAATTTCTGGTCTTTAGGGTGGGTGAGCAAAAGGTACATATTCTGATAAATATTTAGTATTTCCATTAAGTAGTTTTTTTTGGTTAAAGTTTCAATAAGACCTTCATAAATATATGGTATATTTTAGGTGAAAGTTACACAAGAACTGAAAAACATTCAAGTTGAGCAGATGACAAAACTTCAAGCCAAACATCAAGCAGAATGTGATTTGCTTGAAGATATGAGGTAAGGTTATAGTGAATTGTTTGAGAACTTATATATCTCTGTTTCAAAGAACCTTTTAGTTACCAAGCCCCAGGAACTGATGATGGAATTTCCTTTTGGATTTCCTGCTTTAAGGCCGTCAGAGCTTTGACTTAGCTAGAAATTATAACTGGAACTAACACAATACAAACTTTTTCTTTTAATGGAAGAACCTCTAATGTACACATACTATTATGAAAAAACAATGGTCTTAAAAGTTTATCTGTTAAAATATAATCACTGAAGTAAAAATTCTTACTTAAATAATCTTTCTACTGAATTGTAACGTTTATTGACCTTAACGATTTCGCATGGATTTTTAAACTAACTCCTCTGGTTAATGGTTAATATCTGGAGGTGAGCCAGTCAACCTCAGATGATTAGATACTAGCATTATTTGTTAGAACATGACAAATATTACTTTGTCTTTGAACATTAAATTTAGTGGGAAATGTGTTTGTCAATATTTTATCATTAAAATTACTTGTATTCATAATCAAGGTAACTTTTGAATTTAATAGATAAAATATTGTGCCAGCATTGTGAAAATCAGTATCTTTATAGAGGGAAGTATGACTCACTTTATTGAAAGAAACACGACTATTTTACTTCACAATTCTATAATACATACTGACAGTTTAACAGACATTGGTAAAGGATAGAAGATGATTTGCATGTGGAAGCAGAGTGGCTGCAATTCTTATTTTCTTTGGTAATATGTTTATCAAATTGGAATTGGGTCTGTAAGCCACTTGGTTGCCTTTTTTTCCTGTGGTGCACAACTTCATATTGGTTTTATGAAAGATATTAACTATGTATTGTTATTATAAAATTATATGTATTTGATAGCTGAATTGTTTGTGGCCCAAAGATTTTAATTTAAAGAATTCCTCTCCTCCCAATATTTAATTTATTTATGAGTTATTTCTACTTGTATACCTGTATTTTCAGGGTTTCTTTCTTGCTTTTTTTTTTGAGACTTTATTTTATTTCTTTTCTTAGAGAAGAAGGAAGAGAGGAAGAGAGGGAGAAAGACATTAGTTGGTTACCTCTTGCATGCCCCCTAACTGGGGATCTGGTCCACAACGCAAGCATGTACCTGACCAGGAATTGAACTGGCAACTTTTTGGTTCACAGGTCGGGACTCAACCCACTGAGTCACACCAGCCACGCCTCAGGGTTTCTTACTAAAGCATATAAATTCAGTCTCATTCACTGTTGGATGTACCAAGATCATTGTTTTTTTTTTCTTTTTCTTTTTTTAATTCTGTATTTGTTTATTTTATTTTTCTTGTGTCCACAGGGAAATTTTTATACTTAAATAATTCCTGTAGGATACCTAAAACTTAATATGGTTAAAAATTTAAAGTTTTTAACATCTAGTAAGTGAACTAAGTTTTTAACATGTATTGTAGTAGAAATCTCTAGATGAAGAAAAGAAAAAGTTTTCAGAAGCAGTTTAGGAAGTCAAAATTAGTGTGTAAATAAAGATAGTCTTTGGGTTTTGTATGGTCAGTCATCATTAAGTCCTGCTGTTTATATCTTATAAAGACTTCTTGCTTGCATTCTTTTTCTTTTTCCCTTCATTGCCTATACCTCAGTAAGGGACCTTATGGTCAAATATACAGATATACAACCACTGTTAAATTGATGTAGGTTGTTGCTCCTGTGCTGTTGTTTAGTTGTTTGTATTATTGCTGACCCTGTCACATTTTACTTGCATTATTGCAGTTATACCCTAAATGTTGCAGTAGCGTACTTATATCTTCCAACCCCTCAACCGCCTTTTAAGTCTGTGTTCCCCATTGTCACCAGTTTGCTTTTGAAAAACATTGCTTGCTATATACCTGTGTCCTTCTGGATGAAGACCAAACACCTCTACAACCCAGCTGCAAGCTTCCTTTCTTGACTTAATTACTACCATTTCATGCCCATGTGTCCTTCCTCCTTAATCCCCCTGCCCTTCGCGCAGGCCTTCTGGTTATCTAATTGTTTCTTAATATTAATGCCTTTGTTTTGTTGTCTACTTTGCCTGTTGATACCCTTCCTCCCACTTTTTTACCTGACAAATTCTGGTTACTATTAAGTTAGCAGGTTTGTTTTTTTCTGTGATTTCAATTTTGATTTTGCCCATGTTTCTGACTTTCCTCCTCATGTGAATTCCTTGAAGTCAGGGTCAAAGTTACTGTTTTTGTATCTTTGTATCCTTTGTTTAGGCTGGCAGAATTGTTAAGTTGTTATATTTAACTACACCATATTTGTTTTTAGGTGAGATATTTATAAGCTTTATTTGTAGAGGCTATAGTGGTATCTTGTGTTATGCTTTGATTCATGTGGATACTTGAAAATGTACCATGCTGTTTGACATAGAGTATATCTGTATTGATATATAATGTGTAAATATACAGATTGTTGGTGCTCCAAGGATTAATGGATCCTTTATTATTTTGAAGGAGGCAATGTGTTCTTTTTCATGTATTAAATTAATAGAATGAATTCCTTTACTCCTATCTAGTTGTGAACAGAACATTAATACCACTTACGAAAATGATTTCGGGTCTCAGATTTGCCTTTTGTTTTTCAATGATAATCCTGAATTGGAAGTTGAAAATTGCCTACCCTTGGTATTCATGATGTTAGTTACTTCAGGAGAGAAATGGTCTGGCTTTTCTGGTCTGTTCTTGCAAGTGGAATATGACCTTCTAAAAATGCATTAGAAATCTCTGAACTGGGGTTTTTATATGTGTTATGTTGTAAAGGATCTTGCGTGCTTTTCCTTTTTTGAGGCTTCTACCACCCTTTTCCCTCAGGCCCCATGGAAAGCACTCCTTCTAACCCTGGCCCCCGCAAACAGTATTATACTCAATTTAAGTTCGTACAAATTCACTCAAAAAGGTGCAAATAGCTTTTTTGTTCTTCATACAAAGAAATTAGTAGTAGAAAAGTTTTTATAGCTTTAAAAAAAGTTTTTTAAAAAAGACCACAGCAAAATAAAGTGTAAATAGGAGAATTTTATGCTTGGTAAAAGCATAGATTCCTATCCCTTTACCCTCTGGTCATCTTCTGGAATTTTGAAGAGAGGAGACCAATTATGATACAGTTTTTTTCTTTTGCTCTCTTCCGCTTCTTCAGTTCATTTGTTTCAGGGATGCATTAGGAAGCTGGTGTGTTGAGAGTAAAGTAATGGAAGGAGAGATAACTCATTTGTTGTTAATCAGGGACATTCCATGCTTTGGATTCTAAAGTGTTTCCTGTTGACTTTTGCTGTCAGCGGTAGGCAAGCACACTACTCTCTTTTTAATTTATTATTTTTTCCTCTCTGCTTTCTAAGGCCACTCATAAGTAAGTTTCTAAATACTATAGCCTATTAGTGTTTATTAGTATTATGTATTTAGTGTTGTTTATTACTGTGATGTGCTAAGTAGTCAGGAAAGAAAGTTCTTTGCAAGCACCGACAATGTGAAGAACTATCTTTTTAGCAGACATTTTTTAGGGTATAATTGTATAATATGGAAAAATCATGGAGTTTTAGAGTTAGGTGGATACTGTCACATTTGTTGATTTTTATAGATGAAAATGGAAACTGAGGCACAATGAGATGACGTGAATCATGTTAAGGAGGATCTTAGGATCTGTATTTCCCAAGCTTTTAACCAAGGAACTCATCATGGGTCCCCTTTTTTTGAAACATTTTTCCCTATCAAAAACTACATTTTAGCTAATAGCTTGTTTTTCTACTTTTTTCCTTCTCATACATTAAGCTGTCAATCAGCTTTGAATCAGTACTTGAAAACTACTAACATGAAACCAGCCAAAGGCAAAGATACTTAAAGCTTTACCTCAGAGAAGGTTGAGCGTATGGTTTCTCTCAGATGTTCTGGAAAGTTGGAACTGACTCAAGAAGCACCTGTCCTTCCTTTGTTAACACCTGGAGGTCTAGCGACCTCAAGTGAGGAATTGCTATGCTCTATGATACTTTCTCTAAACTGTAGGTTCTTGGGAATCAGTTGGGGATTGGATTCTGAAGCCTGTTTATGGATGCTCTGAGACTTATCTCTAGAAAGGAACCTCAGAGATAATCTGGTATAGAGGAATTTTTAAAAAAGATTTTATTTATTTATTCTCAGAGAGAGGGAAAGGAAGGGAGAAAGAGAGGGAAACATCGATGTGTGGTTGCCTCTCGCCCATCCCCAACTGGGGACCCTGCCCACAATCCAGGCATGTGCCCTGATTCAATCAGGGTTTGGTTTGCAGGCCAGCACTCAATCCACTGAGCCACACCAGCCAGGGTTGTATAGAAGAATTTTTTAAAAATAGGTTTATTGAGATATAATTCACATACCATAGAATTAACCCCGTTTGAAGTTTTTAAATAATATATTCATGGGGTTGTACAGCCATCACCACATTTTAACTTCAGAACATTTTTGTCTTGCCTAAAATAAACTTGACCTATTAGCTGTCATTTCCTGTCACCTTCTCCAGCCTTAAACAATTACTTTCTCTCTCTACAGAATGGAATCTATATAAATGGGATCATACAATATGCAATATTTTGTGACTGGCTTTTACATAGCATATTGTTTTCAAGGTTCATCCATGTTACTACCTCAGTACTTCATTCTTTTCTATTGCTAAATAATATTCCATTGTGTGGCTATACCACAGTTTACTAAACTATTCATTAATTAATGAATCAATTAATGACCATTTCACTATTATTAATAATGCTCCTTTGAATAGTCACATACATATTTTTGTGTGGACTGCTTTCATTTATCTTAAATATATATCTAATAGTGGCGTTGCTGGGTCATATGTTAACTATGTTTAACTTTGTGAGTTTTAACTTTTAAACTGTTTTCCAAAGTGGCTGTGCCATTTTATATTCCCACTAGCAATAATGTATTAAGTTCAGTTTCTCCACATTTTTGCCAATGCTTGTTGTCTATCTTTTTATTATTGCTGTGCTAGTGTGTGTT